CCCTTTGTCTTTTTGTATTAATGGACTTTCTCTAACCATCTTCAAGAGGGTTCTCATTCCAGCTGATCTTTAGGAGACACTTGGGGAGGAGGGCCCTCCCTTCAAATCACCTTTCTGCAGACAGGTTTCCAATCTGCTTCAAGGCCACATCCTGGGCATCTGGTTTCTGTAGCTCAAAGAATTACTGTTCCTGATAAATTGCTCTGAGTTCCAAGGCTACTGCTGTCATATTGCATTTTCTGAGCATTTTCCAGGTCCCCCCAATACACGCTTACACACGCTCACACACACATACTCCCCAACTTATTGGACCCCATTCCCACGTCCCATCCAGGTAAGTTTTATTACAAAACACACAGGAGAGAGGACTAAGCTAGCACAGTAGCTGGAGACACTCAAAAAAAATATCTGGGGGCGCCTGGGTGGCTCAGTCGGTGGAGCGTCCGACTTCGGCTCAGGTCATGATCTCACGGTTGTGAGTTCGAGCCCCGCGTCGGGCTCTGTGCTGACAGCTCAGAGCCTGGAGCCTGCTTCCGATTCTGTGTCTCCCTCTCTCTCTGACCCTCCCCCGTTCATGCTCTGTCTCTCTCTGTCTCAAAAATAAATAAAAAAAAATTTAAAAAAATTTTTAAAAAATCTGCGTTGGATGGAAAGCGTTACAACCCTTGGAGTGTGGGGTGGAGGTGGGTATTATACCTGCAACCTGTGTGGTTTCTCACAGGGATCAGGCAGTGGCAGAGGCAGGCCTGAGGGGTGGAAATAAGGGAGGAACACACTTTACATTGCTCGACAGTTGGTGTCTTGGGGGGAGAGAGTGAGTAGTGAGCTTCCCACGTAGAGGCCCCTTTTAGGCCAACAGGCTTGAGCAATGGAGGGTAGAAAGGGCCCGCAGAGACCCTCTGGATGAATACAGACAGGCCCATCAGGTGACCCACCTCAAAATATCCATAGGCCCTAAATGACACAGTTACCCAAAAGGGAAAGTTCCATACATGGTCCTACCTCCTCATCTTTCCTCTTTTTTTTTTTTTTTTTTCTAACGTTTATTCATTTTTGAGAGACAGAGAGAGAGGGAGACACAGAATCCGAAGCAGGCTCCAGGCTCCGAGCTGTCAGCACAGAGCCCGACGCCGGGCTCGGACTCAGGAACCGCGAGATCATGACCTGAGCCGAAGTCGGACGCTCAAGCGACTGAGCCACCCAGGCACCCCCTCATCTTCCCTCTTTAAAAACAGCCACACCCACTGCCTCCTCGCAGCCTCTCTTCTGCGGTCCTGTCCACAGCTCCCTTGCAGTGTGTTCAATAAACTTCTATCTCCTCTGTTCTGCCTCAGGTGGATTCTTTTCACCTCCCGCACCACTGGGTGCCACCCGATCATCATCCCACATTCAGGGACCCTCATCTGATCGGCGCAGACACGCCATTTAGACACCACACTCATTTCTGGATAAGCACGAGTGGAGGTCCTGCAACCACCCGACGAGGGCTCTGTAGAAAAGAATTGAGCCTCGGGGCGCCTGGGTGGCGCAGTCGGTTAAGCGTCCGACTTCAGCCAGGTCACGATCTTGCGGTCCGGGAGTTCGAGCCCTGCGTCGGGCTCTGGGCTGATGGCTCAGAGCCTGGAGCCTGTTTCCGATTCTGTGTCTCCCTCTCTCTCCGCCCCTCCCCCGTTCATGCTCTGTCTCTCTCTGTCCCAAAAATAAATAAACGTTGAAAAACAAAATTTAAAAAAGAAAAGAATTGAGCCTCAAATAGGCAAGTCTTCAGGGTCCCTTCCAACCCTGGGATTTTATGAGACTCTCTGAGGAAGAAATCAGGGAGAATAAGGGAAAAAAAAGAGAACAGAGAAGAGAGATGGGGAGGAAATGGAAATAAAATTTGAAAGAGACGGGAAGCAAGGCCAGAGGCTGGAAACCATTCTGCTCCTATGCCGAGTTAGTACAGAAAGAAGCTGGTAAGAGCCTGAGGGCGCTGGTATCCTGACGGGCAGTCAACAGAGTCACAGCACCCTGGTCCTCCACCTCCAGCACCCACCTATTTCTGTCCTGAGAGCAGAGACTTCGGGCCTGGCCTGGCCCTGAGAGCACAAGGCCCAGCTGAGCAGCATATGTTCATCCAGTAGGAAGCCTGGCCCAGGACAAAGGAGGGGCAGAACTCTTAGCCACTCGGCACATCCTCTGGGGCACTAAGGATCCTAGGGGATCTGCAGGCAAACCCCCAATCCTCAGATAGAGAGGGCAGGAAGGATCCCTTCTTTTCCCTCTCCCTCCATACCCATGACCAGAGGATCGGGTTAGACCCAAACTGCTAAGCACTCATCCGCCCAGTCAGGCCTCTGCCAAACGCAATCATGTGGGTGGATTCCTGAACCAGTTATAGAAATTGGGCCAGTCCCTGCCCCCTGCTCAAAGGCAGCATTTTCAAGTAGAACAAAGCTTTTACAATGAAAGATTGTATTTCTGAGGGGCGTCTCTGACACAGTGGGGTGAGGTGCAGGGGCAGGGCTCTCGAGCTGTCACTCTTCAGAGAGGAATTTTTCTCGGACACGGGTTTGCCAGTCTGAGCGGGCAATCAGGGCTCTGGCCCTGGGAAGTATCTCAGCCACAGCCTCTGCCAGGAGACAGGCTAGGATGGGAGACAGGGTGTCTGGACCTGGGCCCAGTCCCCAGCCTAGACTGGTCCAATTAGGAAGACTTAATACTCACAGAGAGGGTGACAGAGGAAAAGAGATCCGAGGAAAAGAGATCGGAAGCTGAAAGAACAGAGAAGCTGAAAGAACTCTTCCTTTCCTCTTACACCTCCCTTCCTGGCCACTCCCTGTTTGGGGTGGGCGGGAGGGGGGTGTCGGGGGGTTGAGATTCAGCTGAAACACAGTCAGCCCAACCCCAGGACTGTAGGCTGGTCAGGAGCACAACACGCACTCTTGATCCCTCTGTTTCTTCCCCTGTTCCCCACACAAGAAGCCTCATTTCTAGGACTATAAAATCAGTGTGGTTTCAACCCTGATTCTACATGTGCACCCACCTCAACCCACCCCGAGAGACTCACGGACCTTGTCAGTTGGCCATCGTTCACTGAGTACCCCCTCCCCAAACACATGCACACCCACAGGCACCCCCTCCCCAAACGCATGCACACCCACGGCATGCACTTGGCAATGCACACACGGCTCCTCCACTAAAGGTGCCAACTTGTCCTGTGCAACCAATCCTGCCTGGTTTCCCCTTTTCTGCTCTCCACCGTCTGCCTGCTCTGTAGTTTGCGTTATTTGTGACTTCTTTTGTGCCAGCCACAGCAGTCTGGCCCCTAGGAATGCCCCCACTGGCTTCTCAGAGAACTGAGGGACTGGAGTTGAGACAGAAATGAGACAGTCCTCTCTCTCTCTCAATCTCTCTCTCTCTCACACACGCACAACCACACCCCATCCTAGTAAAAGTGTCAACCCATGGAGGATTTTGCACCTGCACAACACCCTCATGCACACACCCCGGGGCTCCCACCTGTTCAGTCTGCAGAGACCCACCCCACCCTCCCCGCCAGCCCTCTCCACTCATTTCCAGCCTCCCCCATCCCACGTGGTTTCTCCCCCTCCATCCATCCCGGAGTTGGAGGCACCAAGAAAGAGCAGGCGCCGGGTGTAGAACCTGGCAAAATCACAGGACAGTCAAACCGACAGGCAATCACACAAAGGATCCCAGTGAGAGGATCCAGGGGCTCCTTCTTTCTGCGGTTTCCTCCAGCAACCCCCCCCCCCAGGCTTCCTTCCACTGTCCCACGACAAAGAGTCACCGAGCCCAGTTCAAATCGATTGCTTTATTGACTGTTTACATACAGACGCCTTTAGAAAAGGGCGCGGGCTCCAGGGGGGCTACTCCGCCCCGGGCCGCACTTGTGCTGCGCTTTGTGGACAGGGGCGGTCTCGACGCCCGAACCCCCCAAACCCAATCCCGACGTGTTCCTTCAAGAACGAAAAAAGTACCCCCGCCCCAGTCGCCGCGCCGCGTCCACCCTCCCATCCCCTCCCTCTCCGCCCACCTGCCTGCCCGCCCGCCCCCCTACACTACACGGTCACACTTTACAGAACACAGACTTCTCCTACAGAGCACGCTCGTCTAGGACTATACGCCAGGCAAAAACTGTTCCTGTGGAAGGAGGGGCGGGGCGGGGAGACTGGAGGACCTAGGGGCTTTTCTCCATCCGGATCCCGCTGCGCTGTCACACGCCAGCTTTGTGCGAAACAGGGTGCAAGCGCTTAAGACAGACCGCGTCCAGGAGGCCGCAGTGGGCTTCCTTTGTCACACTCCCCCACCCCAGCCCCCGCCTCGTCGAACCGAGGTCTGGGCCACGTGCAGCAGCGGAAGCGGAGCTGTCGAGTGCTTGGATCTCCGAAACCCCCAACTCACCCACAACGAAATTCACCCGGGACCAAGCCCACACTCTCCTCATTAAAAGGGAGGGCGGTTCCGCGGCGCTTAAGTTAGCAGAGAGGGAGAGAGAAAACGGATTTCCCGCCCCTCCTCCTCTCACACACACCCAATTTTCCCAGAGGCTGGGAAGGGAGTGTTAGCACCAGACCCGGAGTGTCGTTGTCCTTTGGAAAAAAACAAAAAACGAAAATATGAAAATCAGAGTGCGCAGCTGAAAGGCGCCCCAGGCACCGGGCTTGGCTCCAGCTGATCAGAAGCGGATTGGGGGGGGGGGGGGACAGACGGGGTTGTTTCCGAGTCGGAAGGGGGCTTTGAAACTAAAACTAGGGAGTTGCTACGGAGTCCTGACTTCTGGGACGTGCACCCCGGAAAGGGCGGAGTAGGGGTCCAGGCAGGACCCTACAGCGGTCCACGAAAGGGACATCTGCTGAGGGTCCCAGAATGACTCCCTGCCACAGCGTTACCACCGGATGTTTCCAACGTCTTCTCCCGTTTCCTCTGGTTCCAGAGCCCACGGTGGGGCAGGCTGCAGAGCAGATTTCGCAGATAACAATTGCGGTGGGAATGGAGAGGTGTGGATTTCGCTTCACAGTCCGTGGGTAGAGCTAGTAACCGTGCTTGCGGTGGTAATGGAACTGAACCCACAAGGACAATGACAGTAGTGGGTGGCCTGGGACTGCTGAAGTCGCCCCACTCCCCACTAGAAGTCCCCAGTAGTGAAGGTTGGGTCTGGTAAAGGGGCGGAGTAAGTGAAGGTTGCGGGTGGGGGGTGGGGAGGCTTACGTCCTGCCAGCCCTAGGCTTCAGCTCCCAGGTACCCAAGGTGGGGGATGGGAATGGGCGGGCCAGTCAGGCTGGGGGTTCAGCCTGCCGTCTGCCTGTAGTTGCCATTAATCTCCTGGGCGATGTTGACCGCCTCGGCGCCCAGGGGCAGCCGATCACTGTATTCAGAGCCCGCCTCGAACTCCTCTTGGTTGGCCTTGGACTGGGACTCCACCAGCGAGCAGGCCGCCAGGCTCTCCTCCCTCTGCAGGTCCCCACCTGGGTCCCCCTGCTCCGCATCTTCATCAAGGCCCTCCCCGGGAGTCTCCTCGGGCTCCACGATGTCTGCCTCACCGCCTGCCGGGTAGCTTTTCTCGGACTCGAGGTAGGACGCACGGGGGTCAAAGTCTGCGGCTATGCGTTTCTCCATGGGGTCAGGGGCCTGGGGCCGCAGTATAAGACGATAGGGCTTACCCGGGTGTTTGGCCAGCAGATGGCAACAGGCGGCGCCCAGCAGGGGCACGGTGGCCAGCACCAGGAGGAACACGCTCACCGCCACGATAACCAGCAGCGAGGGCAACTCCTTCTTGGTGGCAAACACCACTTGCACGTGGCAGGCCTCGCCTGCCAGCGCCAGGCACACTGAGTAGTTGGTGCCAGGCCGAAGGCCGCGGAACCAATAGGCGTTGACGCCCTCCTCCACGCGCGACCACTGTACAGCTGCGCCGCCCCCCGCTGGGCACAAGTAGAGCAGGCGCAGCGGCCGCCGCCCCGGCCGCCCGGCTCCCCCAGCCCCGCTGGGCCCAGACCCCCAGCGCGCCGCCAGCGGCGTCAGCTGCACCCGAGCCTCACGCTCCGCCACGTCCAGCGCGATGACGCCCAGCTCAAAGACGTGCTGCTTGAGCTCTGCGCTCTCATTGAATGCGTGGTTGGACACGTACCGCGAGGGGTCCCCGTGGCCACAGCGTTGCTCCTCCACCGGATCTGCAGAGACCTGGTCTTCTGCTTCCTCTCCCTCACCTGCCTCCTCCTCCTCCGGCCCCGCCTCCGTCTCGCCCAGGATGCTAACCCGGACCAGGCCTGGGCCTTTGATTTTGCCCTCGGGTTTGGAGGGTAGGACGCTGTTGCCCCGGCCTTTGGCTGTGGACTTGCGCTCAGAAGTAGGGGCCTGCCCATCAGAGTCTCCCCCAGAGCCAGGAGCGTGTTTTGGGGGCCCAGAAGCCGCCACTGCCACGCGTAGTGACGTGGAGTTGGCACCCAGCTCGTTGTAGGCCCGGCAGGTGTAGACACCTGCTTCCTTGGCACTCAGGAGCGGAACCAATAGGGAACCGTTTGTGAGGGCCAGGAAGCGTGGGTTGGCTGGGGGTGCGGGCCAAGCGGGTGCTGGAGTCGGGATTGGGGCCTCCGTCTGCGTTGGCCCGTCCCCATCTCCTTCCTCCTCCCCGTCTTCCGCCCCATCCGCATAGTCCTCCCCGCTCTGGACCGGAGGCTCTAAGACCACGGTGCCACCCGGGATCTGAAGTTGCCATTGCAGGCGGGGCGTGGGATGTCCTTCCGCGAAGCAGTGTAGCAGGAGCGCTAGGCCCGCGGGCCAGGGGCTGTCCGGTGCCTCAGGCGGTGGTTCAGCACTTAGACGCACGCTGGGTGGCGCACAAGACAGGGCGGGCAGGCGGTGCACCGGCACCCCTTGCAGCGCGGGAGGCGAGGCGCACGCGATGGAGTCGGGCTCGGGTAACGAAACCCTGGTGCTTGCGGCCCAGGCCTGCAGCCACACAAGGCTGCAACCGCAGTGGAAGGGGTTGTGATAGAGTTGCAGATGTGACAGCGCGCTTAGCGCGTCGAAGGTGCCAGGGGCCAGTGTACGAAGGCGGTTGTTGTTGATGCGCAGGGAGCGCAGGTCGGGCAGCGCACCCAGTGCGTCCCGGGGCAGCGAGCCCAAGCGGTTGTGGTTCATTTTGAGCAGCTGCAGCGCGCTCAGGTTACGGAGGTCGCTCCACGGGAAGCTGGATATGAGGTTGTGGCTTAGGTCGAGGTTCTTGAGCTGGCTCAGCACCGCCAGCGCGCCCGGCTCCACCGTGCGCACCTCATTGTGCGCCAGCCACAGCGACGTGACCTGCGTGACGTCGGCGAAGGCCCCACGCCGCAGCACGGTGATCTTGTTGGCCGACAGACTAAGCGTGGTCACGTTGGCCGGCAGTCCTTCTGGCACCTCGCGCAGCTCCTTGTAGGCGCAGTCGGCGAACTGGTGTGCATACTTGTCCACGCAGGCGCACGGCTCTGGGCAAGCTGCGGCCCCTCCTAGCAGAGCCCAGGCCAGCCACAGAGCCCGCAGGCGCACCATCGCGGATCCTGCAGATGGAAGCGGGGGGGGGGGGAAGAGGGGAGAAGGTGACTTATGAGCCCCAGCTTTCCTCCCCTTTTAAGCGCTGCCTCCGCAAACCCATCTAGGGCAGGCCCTGGGGTTCCGGTAATCTCCTCTGTGCGCAGGAGTCTCTCTCCCACACGAATGGGGCTCAATGGAAATCTCAGGATTCAATGCATGCTCTCTCAGGGCCCTGATTTCCGTTTCCAGCGGATTGATGCCTCGCTTTCCACCCCCCTACTTGCTCGTTCAGTCTAGCAGTGGTTCTTCCAGAGGCTCTGCAGCTCACCTGTCTGTCTGCTCTGGGCTCTACCCTGGCCCCGTGTGTTTCTGAGCCTTCGTTTAACCCCGTGAGGAGGATACACAGAGAAGGTATTTTTGTCCACGACCTGTCGTCCTTCCTCCAACTCTTTGTCCCACGCACAGCACTCTCGCGCACACACCCAGACAGCACACAGCAATACAAACACACGCTGGGGCACCGCCATCCAACCGCAAACTTTTACAGGGTTCACAACACATTTCCTAGCACAAAAACACAAAGACATGGACACACTATACTCTGGAGACCTCATTGTTCTTTCAGCTGAACTTTAACATCAGGACAGCGTTTTCCCTTGCGTGCTTTCCTGTTCATTGTGGGAGCTGACAGACACAAGGACACATGTCCTCACACGAACTGACCCACACTCAGGGACACAGGCGCGCACTTGCGCACAAAAGCCCTCCACTGAGACTGAAAACCCAGCGGATGGGCAATGCCCACAACTTGCGGTGGGTGGCAGGAGATGGGACCCCTGGCAGCAGACTCACAGGCCCCCCCCCTCCGTCAGACACCAAAGCAGCCTGCCCTGGGCTGCAACTCCCTGGAGGGGCCAGCTGAGGTTGCTATGTCAACTTCCGACTGAGGAAGGAGATCCTCCCCCAGGCAGGGACCTTGAGCTTTGAGGGGGATGTCGCTAAAGATTCCCTTTCCCATCCCCGAAGAACGCAGGCGAGGCGGCTCCCAGAGGGCATTGGGGTCCCCAACCGACAGGTCATGGGGGCTGCCACTAGCTAAGGAAGTAGGAGACGGTGTAGGATTCCGCCCCTTTTCTGCAGCTCCACGATGCCTGAGCAACCCCTCCCCACCCAGCAAAAACCTTCTTATCCCCAGCCACACAAACCCACTTAACGCAGACCACCCCGCCCCCCCCCCCCCCCCCCCCAGCTCCCCTCTAGGGCTCCTGGCAGGTTGGGCAGAGCCCCTCCTACCCTCCCGTCCTTAGGAACCCAGGCTCCCCACGCCGCCTTTGGTCCGGGGAGAGGGCCCCTCCCCACCCCTCCGTGGACTCCCCCTGACAGCGCCAGCGGGGTATGGCACCCTAGGCGGGATCTGCCCACACCGGGGTCGAGCTTGTGGGGCTGTCCCCGCGGCTTACCCGCTGCTGACTCTCTGCGCGCTGCCCTCGGGCTGCAACCCCTTCTCCAGACTGATGTCTCTGCGCCCAGACGATTGCCCAAGGGCGCTTTCCACATCTGTTGCTGGCTGTGGAAGACAGGGGAGGGGCAGAGAAAGGGACAGGTAATTGTGGGGACTGCCCGGGCCCTGAGGTCCTGCTTCAGTTTCCCTTTCGCGTCTGTTCCCCCACCCCCCACCCCCCACCAGGTCTGTCTGGCCGCAGACTGAACAGAGTCCTCGCGCGCTCCCGGGCGCAGCAGGGACGCGCACAGCCTCTCCCGCCTCCCGCATCGCCCACATTTGTTAAAACCTTAGAGGCTCTCCCCGAGGCTGAGACGCGTTGGTCTCAAGGGGCGCCCCCACACCCACCGCCCTCGTCTGGGCTCTTTCCAGTTCACCGCACACGCATAACCCGCGTCCCTCCGCACTTACACATCTTGCAGGCATTGTCCCTGTGCCTAATCACACCGCGCCCCCCCCCGCCCCAGTTTCAAACACATTCGTACAGACACACGCAGACCTTCACACCCTCCGCCCAGTCGACCTTCACATGTTAGAATTGTCCCTCATCCTGTAATAATAACCGAGTCAATGTGTTGAGCCGTCCTTGCGTTCACACTCATTTTCAAAGGCACGCCTTCACGCGGGACACTCACCCTCTCCCCCTCCCGCGCGCACACACATTCACGTTCACTCACCCTCACTCGCGGGTCCCGCCAGGGCCGGTGAGCTTCGCTGCTAATTGAACGCGAGCCGCTTTTACGCCCCGCAACACGTGAGACAAACCATCTTTGAGGAATTTGGGGGAAGGCAAGAAGCACGACTGAGGGGGGGGGGGCGTGTCTTTGCCTTTAAACTCTTTTTGCAAATGCGGGCTGTGGCACAGACAGACCAGGAGTGAGTAGGGACCCGCTGAGCTGCGCGCAGCCGGGCTCGCGCGGACCCTTCCTTCCCGCACTCCCCTCCCCACTAGCAGCCTCCTCCCCGAAGCCACGTTCAACACGATGCATAATTGATAGTGTTAGCAGAGCGCCTCACCCTCCCTGCTATTTTTGCCAGGATCTGGGTGGATGCAAGCCCTGGTCTCCCCCGCCCCCCACCAGTCCAACCCGAAGACTGGAACGCACGACCCCGCGGGGCGCGCGGGGAAGCGACGCCTCCTCCCCAGCCCACCGCCACCCTGCCCAGCCTCTTAAGCCCTACTCTTTAAGTCTCATCTTTTGTAGCAAAACCAGCGCTTGAAGCCCACAGCCCCACACGCCTGCCTGTGCGCCCCGCGGGGTGCGGCGGGTGTGCGGTATCAGCCTCTGCCTCCGCAGAAGGCTGGCCTGGGAGCACCCACGCGCCTCGCCCTCAGGTCTTGCCAGCCACAGGCGAATGGGGCACCGGGGCTGCGGCAGACCGAGGCACCACCGAAAGGGATGGTTACAAAACGTCCGCTCCTCCCGAGCAGTGTGGGCTGGGTACTTAAGGCCCGAGGCTCTCTCTCCCCGTTCCTCCCTCGCCAACATCTTCACAGCCTCACCACCAAACGCGCCGTCAACCCCACACACTATCCCCCGATGCCTCCGCGGCCCGCCACCGCCAGCATGTCTCACACCCTCACACAACAGCCGGCCTCGGCAGATTCGAATACTCGCTGTTCCCGACTCTCGCTCCCTGTCTCTGGCGAAACCCCGACATTTCTTTTAGCGACGAGGAGGCGGAGGCGCAGGAATGTCGAGGCATTTGGCTGAAACTCGATGTGTGTCTCCCGCACTGCCCATAGCAGCCCTGGAGACAGAGTTGCTGGCCAGAATCGAGTAAAGGAGAAGGGAAACAGGCTCCCAGAGACAGGCAAACGCCCCCCACCCCCACCCCCACCCCCCGCCTCTTTCCCCGGTCCTTTCTGTAGACATTGAGCTCTCAGGGCACACGCGGCCCCCAAGCCCGCACCTCGAGCCGTAGGGTTCTCTGGCGGTGGGTCGATGGCGCGGGTTTGGGGCCTCTGAGGAGATCAATCTCCTGATTTGAGTGTTGAGCATTTTAATGAGCTAGGGAAGTGGGGAAGAGAGACGCACGAGGAGCGCTGCAGCTAAAGAGACCACCCGACCGGGCGTTCCGAGGATCCTTTGTAAATTAAATATGAAAGGACTGGCGCACGGCTACTCCGCATCCCTCCCCCTCTCTTACTCTTGCGGCCGCTGCTGGCGGCGTAGCAGGCTGGGACCAGACAGCTCGTACGGATCAGGATTTAGAACCCAGAACTTCACTCCACTTCCTTGGGTCTGTGGTCCCCACGGACGACCTAGGGGGAGGACACAGGGGAGCTCTGAGAGGGGAGGTGTCTTCAAGGAGGGTGGGAGGGTGAGGGCACCTTGACCCTGCGGTGGACACTGCGACGGCCCCCTAGTCTGGGGATGAGTCCCTGCGGTTGGGCCAGGGAGTGGCGCGGCTGGCTGGCCAGGCACAACCTCTTTGTCTGCAGAGCAAGGGGTGGGGGTGGGGGGCGGATTGGGAACGCTGAGGAGGCGGTTCTGGGAGCCTCGGTCCTAGAAGAGGGGTCTGGGAGGCCAGGGACCAGTAGCGAGGAGGGAGAGGCAGGCCCGGGATGGCGGGTCCTGGAGACTTCCTCGGGCGGGGGCGGGGGCGGGGGGGGGGAGGGGCGCCTGCCCTAGAGGCGGGGACCGAGGCTGCGACTCGGAGGCGCAGAGCTTGTGGACCCCCGACCCAGTTTTCACCTCTTTTTCTGGTTCTTTATGCCTTCGTCGAGGAGGCGGACAGGTAGGCAGGTGGGCAAGGGACAATTTGGAAGCGCTGATGGACTGGAAGACAAGAGACTGGAGAGTAGAAGGGAGAATGGGCTCGCTTATTCTCTGCGGAGAGCTTCCCAGGACCGCAGGGACCCGCCCCTCCAGCGTCCCAGGAACCTACGGGGCCCACGGGCCAAATAAGACCCCTTTTCCTTGGCTCACTTGCCAGGGATGCAGAAGCCCGGAGAATTTGGCAGAGAAACAGGGCTCCAGGGGCCAGGAGGGCGCCTAAGGATGTGGTGGCCACCCAGGCGAGGGCGCAGACTCCCGCGGGCCCCTGCGACTCCCGCCCACTCTCCAGCAAGCGCTTTTGTTCCCCGAGCCTACCCGGGGGGGAAAGACAACCCTTACCCCCGCCTTCGACCCCGGAGCGCCCAGGGCCTGCCCTGGCAAAGTCCGCCGAGGCCTGGGGTTGGAGCCACGACTCCAGGATCAGCCTCCGGGCTCAGCTAGGAGAGGACAGCGCGTTTCGCCCGGCGCCGCCCGGGCGCGCAGGAGCAGGTCTGATGTCTATACTGTTAATAATGGTACAGTTACTGAGGGGCTGGGGAACCGGGAGCGAACACACCGCCGCCCACGTCTTTGATCGTTAAAGAAACAGGCACCTAATCAGGTGCGTGGAAGTAGGTGTGGGTGAAGGAGGGATTTTAAGGTTCTAAGCCGCCAGAGGGGAGGGCCCAGAATCGGAATCTGTAGAATCCAGGCTCAAGGTTTTTGACCAGGTTGGGGTCCAGACCCTAGACAGACGCAGGGGCCAAGAGCTGTGGCTCCGGGCAAATTTTTGCGAACCGACTTCTAACTTTGACTTTGCGGACCCGGACGGTCCGGAGGGTGGGGTGGGTTGAAACCCAGTGGATCCCCGCAGTCGCTCTCCAGGCTCTGTCCCCTCTTGGTTTCTGTCCCAGGACTGGTTCGTGAGCGCCCCCTGCCGCACACCGCTGGCCGGTGCAGAGGCTGGGGCAAGGGCGGCCGGAGGCCTGCGCCGGGAGCGCGGAGGCTGGAGCCCTGAGCTAAGACGTGCTCTGTCCCGGGTTCGGTGGTCCCGAGGCGCAGTGTGCGGGAGTGGGGCAACGCTTAACGAGGGCACCGAAGCTTTCCTTCTCATGCCCACCCAGTCTACGTCCCCGGAATCTGCAACCTCCTCTCCCCTGCCCAACACGGACACAGCCCCCGCTTCGCACCCCATTGTGTTTCCGGCACCCAGGGCACAATAGGCACCCTTTGAATACTCGTGTAAGGAGTAGGCCCTGGCACGAACCGATGCTCTTAGTTCTGGGAGGAAACCGTCCTGTACGCCTCCCTCGCGGACAGCGCCCCCACCCCCACCCCCAGCACACACACCCTGGGCAGGGTGCGCGCTTTCTCTCTGAGAAAGCCTCTCGTAGGAGGGCTCTAGAGCACAGTCCTTAAGTCTTATGACTTTATCTGGGCCTAAAATGTCCGAGATCTGAAAAAGAAAATCTATTGGCTCTAAGAGGAGAAAGAAAACTACGAAGTAGGAAGTAATAGATGTTTAATGAAATGTTCAGGACAGGTAACATTGTGCAAACGCTTCCATTCCAACTGCATTGAGAGTTGTACGTGCCCCTGTATTTAGGGAGGCATGTGGGTGATTTAAGGGATGTGGGAAGGTCTCGGAAAGTCAGAAAACCAGGGCCCAGAAGGGCATCACCTACCCGCAGCATAGCGGCCTCAGGGGATCCCTCCCACAGCTGCACTCCAGCCAGAATCTCCAGAACACTCCCCACTCCCATCTTTCAGCTACTAGTCTGTCCCCTTGCCTGCCAATACTGTTCTTACCTCTCTTCCCAAGAAGCTGCTTTCTCTTTCTAATTTCCAGCGGAGAGCTCACCTTTCTGGGAAGCCAGTCCCTGTGTATAAGGCCCCCTCCCACCTTCTCTCTCTCCTTCCCTTCTTGCACACTCTGTGTGGTGGTTAGGAGGAAAGGTATTAGCATCAGACTCCACCACGTACTAGCTGCGTGACCTTGGCCAAGTTACTTAACCTCTCTGTGCCTCAGGAGGAAAAGGGGCTATAAATAAGAATATCTACATTATCGGGTTGCCCTGAGGATTAAAGGAGTCAAGGCATGCAGTTCACTGAGTACCTGGCACTTGGATAGCACTCAGAAATGAGCTATTATTTTTTACAACATTAGCCATCATTATTGCCTTCCAGAGTTGGGTACAAGTATAAAGAGATGTCTGCTCCACACCCCCCTACGTGCTTGTGTCCTTCCTGCCTCCCCCACAGGGAGAAGCAGCCCCCAAATGTCTCTCTACTCCCTGCCCCCCCTACATACCATGGCATAGGTAGCGATCAGAATTACTACTACCATTTGTAAAGATGTCCAGTCTCATCTCAGATACTTAAAACTCGGATTCTGATGCCTGTAGCTGTCACCAGTGTGCCTGTTTGGAAAGAGAGACCAGCAGCTGCAGCCCTGGTGGAAGGTTTTTAATTAAAACCACAATCTGTTTAAGTATTTATTGGGCTCTGTGACTTTAATTATTTTCTAGGGAAAAACAACAAAAAAAAAATCTACATTTGCATATGGGAAGACTGTTGATTTCAGAGGAAAGTAGCAACCTGTGGCAGTTTGCTGGAGGCAACTGGGAGGAATTCCCTGAATGGTTCAGATGCGGCTCGACATTATTAATAATCTGGGATCCGGTCCACGACCTTCCTCCTAGTGCTTTCATGAAATTAGCTTAACGTGCTGGCGAGGCCCTTCCAGTGGCATCTCCTGTAATTAGCTGGGCCTGTGCTTGTCTCTGTAAAGATGGGGATCTCCTGCCTGGAGGAGGCAGCATGCTTAGCTATTCTACCGCCCAGGCAGGACTGGTTCTCCCCAGCGTGGGGGGGGGGGGGGTCTCGGGCCTCCGCAATAGGGTGAAGCAGGGAAAGGGAGGACGTCCATCTGCGGATAATAAACGTCTCATCTCAAAGTGTTTTAAAAACTGTATGTGTATCATCTCACAAGGAGGGAGGGCTGGCTTTAGGGCTGGTTGATTCGGTGGCCCAGACTCAGTCCCTCTCCTCTGCCAGCCTTAACAGGGCTTCTGCTTGAGACTTGTGTTCCTTGGTGCCCTTGGAGGGCTTCCGCAGCAGCTGGGGTAACATGCTTAGCGGTAACAGACTAGTGGAATAGAGAAACTGGGTTCTCCTTCTAGAAGCCACAGCCTCTCCTTAGGCCTTATGGACAGCTGTTGGCTCAGGCCTTCCCAACTGATAAAATGATCACTGGTAAAGGGAATTGAATTGATTGGCTCAGAGTAATCATCTAGCCCGGAAATAGATGTTGAGGAGTCAACCCCAAGATTATATCCACAGGCGAGCAATCCCCTTTAACTAAAAGTGCTGGGGAGTTGCGTGATCAGAGTAATCTACTATTGTGTCAAAAGGAATTGAGCTGAAATGGACCATACTTGTAATAAACCATATTAGACATTAAACCATATTCGACACCTTATCTGGAGGTTAGACCAGTCTATGTCTACCATCCGTGACCACGATCAGGGCCCAGTGTGTGACCAGGATGAGGGAGGTCTCTTGGGTGGGTATACATACAAACTAGAGAATTCTGTGCTTTCACAGAATTCTTGAAAGGATAAAAATTTGTTCTTGGAAATGCCTGTGCTGGGATCCAAAGCTATTTTGGGAGCAGTAGAAGCTTGAGTCTTCAGTTGGATATTTATGAGCAGGAGATGTTTATGAACTCAAAGATGTTCCTACATGACTTCACATGACTGAACATGTCACCCGGTCCCATGGCGGAGAAGAGTGGCACTTTACTGTCGCGGTGGAAAACAGGAGGACGAATTGTACCCTGGCCTTGGGAAGAATGTGGAAGCGGTGCAAAGCTTCCAGCTTCACAAACTCGATTGTGTGACCTTAAGCAACTCCTGTCCTCTCTTCTTCAGGTCTCTGTGCTTGCGAAGGTAGGAGAGTGGGCTGGACGTGCTCGGGGGGGGCCCTTCAACTGCTGCTGCCCTCTGAGACGCTGGCT